TTTACCCTCAGCTACCTCCTAGGACATATAGCAATTGTAATATTGGAACAAACCTTTTTGTACAGGTCTGGGCAGTGGAGATGGTTTGAATACAGTTGGTCTTTTCTCTTATGCCTTCCTCCTTCTATTTACATTGTATATGGAATAGAAAGGGAAGAGTAATAGGTTGATGTTGGTTTGTGCATGTCTGTGTGTGTAGTGTTTGTTTTTTACCACAAAATACAGAAATAAAACCAAGCATGGAATGGATAAAAGACACATTAAGTTGCACATAGCTGATGAAGATGGGGGTCCTTTGGAGCAGTTGTTTTCACTCTTGCCTTATTTCGCCACTTTCATCATAACCCCCATCCTAGCCCCTACAATCCTCTTAATATTACTGTTTTATGTAGGAAAAATAATTATTTGCACTCTCATTATGATGGTCCTATTTGAGTTGGCAAATTACTCTGGCAAATCTGGAGTACAAAATTTTGTTTCATACAGTCTGTGAGGTCCTTTGGCCTTTGCCAGTTAAAGAGATCTGGATTAAACTTGCATAGTTGTTCGTGGAATAGCCAATGGAACTTAGAAATTTTATTTTTCTCCCCTCCTTTCTTTCCTTCAAGTCAAATAATGAAAAATGATTGTGTCCTTTGCTCATTAACATTTATAACTGTTTAGTGCCAGATGTGACACCAGGTGTAATGATTTCTGTGCAGTTCATTATAGACAGGAACCCTTTTCACTAAGATCCCTACAAATACTTATGCCAAGTACCACCTTATGCACAAGACAGAGGACCAAGTGATGGAAGTTTCTTTTTCTGTACTTGCCAATCAGGGAAAATAATAAGACTCAAGACTTTTTTTAAAAAAATCTACTCTGGGCACATATTGAAACAAACCTCCTGGTTTTGGGTGCTATGCAATTTTTAGAAGCTACAGCACAGGTTATTCTTTTAGGTAATGCCCATGCACATTAGGTAAGCCCAATCATCAACCCTGGATCGGGAAACAGCAAAGATGGCTCTGAGATTGCATCTAGGGCTTGGTTACATTAGAACATACTAAAATTCACAGTATCTAATTTTAAGGATTATAGCTGATTGGCAAAGTGTGTGCTTGTTATCCTCCTCACAGAAAATGCATGAGGTCCTTCAGCACTGGCATTATCTAAATTTAGGACTAAATAGATAAGGTCATTTAGAACGTCTACTCTATGAGAAGTAGGTTTGCTTTACTTAAAGGTGTCAATCTTTATGGCAGGGAATTGACTAATATCTTGACAAAGGCTAATGGCAGAAACAGCCTGTAGAGGACTTCTAATTATCTAAAATTAATTTTTAATAGGATGGGTGGGCAAATAACTCTCAAGGAGAGATCACACAAGGGCTTCTATTTAACTATGTTGTCTAACCTGAAAAATTATGTCTCTAGGGTATACATGGATTAAATTTGGGGGGGGGCATTAACCTGTCCACTTTACTTTTTTTTTGCTTTTGCTGGTACTGCTGCTGCTGCAGGAAAATGTGAGCTGTATTAGGCAATTATTGGAATTCAGCTCTCCTAGCCTGGATCTTCTTATTAGAAGGGAAAGGAATAGGATGACCAATTAGATGAGAGGGTATGTTAAATTCTGAACCCAATTTGGTCATCTTGCAGCCAGTACCTCTGGAGGATGACCATAATAAAACAACTTTTCAGTGATCTGGTGTTTGAAGGAAAATTTCAGAGCTAACAAGATATCTTAATCAGCTAGAAAAATATAGTCCCTGGTGGTCAAGAGGATGCAAAATCCTGCTGGCACACAGTGGGTAATCTTAGACACATTTTGGATTGACTTGGTGGGGGTTACTTCTTTTTTCCCATTTCAAGTGTTTTTTATTGAGTAATGGAATTTGTAGGTACTATATTGTAGAGATATTGAATTCTGTTATGTTCCTCTAAAGGGTATTGGTGTTTGTTCTAGTAGCAGTTCAATTACTAATCTTGAACTTTTGGTGCTTAGTTGTATGCTTTGTCAGAGTAGATCAATGGAAAACCCAAGGTATGTCCTGATCATCTATAACTTGGTGGGACTCAGTCTCTAATCTTTTTCTCCCCTGTGGATCTTTTTTTTGACATCTTTATTGGAGTATAATTGCTTTACAATGTTGTGTTAGTTTCTGCTGTATAACAAAGTGAATCAGCTATATGTATACATATACCCCCATATCCCCTCCCTCTTGCATCTCCCTCCTGCCATCCCTAATCCCACCCCTCTAGGTCATCACAAGGAATCGAGCTAATCTCCCTGTGCTATGCAGTTTCTTCGCACTAGCTATCTATTTTACATTTGATAGTGTATATATGTCAACGCTACTCTCTCACTTCGTCCCAGCTTACCGTTCCCCCTCCCCGAGTCCTCAAGTCCATTCTCTACATCTACATCTTTATTCTTGTCTTGCCCCTAGCTTCATCAGAACCACATTTTTTTTAGAATCCACATGTATGTGTTAGCATATGGTATTTGTTTTTCTCTTTCTGACTTACTTCACTCTGTATGACAGACTCTAGGTCCATCCACCTCACTACAAGTAACTCAATTTTGTTTCTTTTTATGGCTGAGTAATATTCCATTGCATATGTGTGCCACATCTTCTTTATCCATTCATCTGTCAATGGACACTTAGGTTGCTTCCATGTCCTGGCTATTGTAAATAGTGCTGCAATGAACATCGTGGTACATGTCCCCTTTTCAATTATGGTTTTCTCAGGGTATATGCCCAGTAGTGGGATTAGTGGGTCATATGGTAGTTCTATTTTTAGTTTCTAAGGAACCTCCATACTGTTCTCCAAGGTGGCTGTATCAATTTACATTCCCACCAACAGTGTAAGAGGGTTCCATTTCCTCCACACCCGCATTTATTGCTTGTAGATATTTTGATGATGGCCATTCTGATGGGTGTGAAGTGATACCTTGTTGTAGTTTTGATTTGCATTTCTCTAATAATTAGTGATGCTGAGCATCTTTTCATGTGCCTCTTGGCCATCTGTATGTCTTCTTTGGAGAAATGTCTATTTAGG